GCGACCACAGGGAGTCTTCTGTATCGGTCCAGCCGATACTTCAGGACAGTAAGGATGTGCCCCCGGGTCCTTCGCTATCAGCCCCCCCCTCTATTAGGGGGTGCTCTTCTAGAGCTAGGGCTGGGACTGGAACAGGGGCTGGGACTGGAGCAGGGGCTGAGGGTCCTCCTGTGGTCACTGGGGAGGAGGTGCTGATGGACGGCACAGTGCTGCTGGTTCCAGGAGAGGCGGTGGTGGGACCCGGTAGGGACCGAGACGGCATTAAACGGAACCCTTCAATGGCTGAAGGGTCAAAGGGGAAGAGGCCACACTTCTTAAATGCTTCCACCACATAGCGCATGTCCTTGCATCGCTGGTACGAGTAGCAGAATACTCTGGCAAATTCTGATTTGTTTACCATGTAGGAGTGGTCAAAATGGCTAAGGTCTCCAGCTACCTTGGAGAACTCAGCCTTTAAAGGGCCAAAGTATGCCACGTCCAGCGGCTGCAGGACATGGGTGCAGTGTGGTGGAAGACAAAGAAGTATAACCCCTTCCCTTAGTGGCGCCGCGAGCACCTCCGGGTCCATGTGGCTCTTGTGCCCATCGAAGAGGAGAAGGAGAGGGCGCTCCTTCACTGCATGCTTAATTAATCAAATCAAATTTTATTGGCCACATGCGCCGAATACAACAGGTGCAGACATTACAGTGAAATGTGCTTACTTACAGCCCTTAACCAACAGTGCATTTATTTGTAATAAAAAAGTAGAGTAAAACAACAAAAAAGTGTTGAGAAAAAAAGAGCAGAAGTAAAATAAAATATCAGTAGAGAGGCTATATATACAGGGGGGTACCTGTGCAGAGTCAATGTGCGGGGGCACCGGCTAGTTGAGGTAGTTGAAGTAATATGTACATGTGGGTAGAGTTAAAGTGACTATGCATAAATAATTAACAGAGTAGCAGCAGCGTAAAAAGATGGGGTGGGGGGGCAGTACAAATAGTCCGGGTAGCCATGATTAGCTGTTCAGGAGTCTTATGGCTTGGGGGTATAAGCTGTTGAGAAGTCTTTTGGACCTAGACTTGGCACTCCGGTACCGCTTGCCGTGTGGTAGCAGAGAGAACAGTCTATGACTAGGGTGGCTGGAGTCTTTGACAATTTTGAGGGCCTTCCTCTGACACCGCCTGGTATAGAGGTCCTGGATGGCAGGAAGCTTGGCCCCAGTGATGTACTGGGCCGTACGCAGTACCCTCTGTAGTGCCTTGCGGTCGGAGGCCAAGCAGTTCCCATACCCGGCGGTGATGCAACCAGTCAGGATGCTCTCGATGGTGCAGCTGTAGAATTCTTTGAGGATCTGAGGACCCATGCCAAATCTTTTCAGTCTCCTGAGGGGGAATAGGCTTTGTTGTGCCCTCTTCACAACTGTCTTGGTGTGTTTGGACCATGATAGTTCGTTGTTGATGTGGACACCAAGGAACTTGAAGCTCTCAACCTGTTCTACTACAGCCCCGTCGATGAGAATGGGGGCGTGTTCAGTCCTCTTTTTTTCCCTGTAGTCCACAATCATCTCCTTTGTCTTGGTCACGTTGAGGGAGAGGTTGTTATCCTGCCACCACACGGCCAGGTCTCTGACCTCCTCCCTATAGGCTGTCTCATCATTGTCGGTGATCAGGCCTACCACTGTTGTGTCATTGGCAAACTTAATGATGGTGTTGGAGTCGGGCCTGGCCATGCAGTCATGGGTGAATAGGGAGTACAGGAGGGGACTGAGCACGCACCCCTGAGGGGCCCCCGTGTTGAGGATCAGTGTGGCAGATGTGTTGTTACCTACCCTTACCACCTGGGGGCGGCCCGTCAGGAAGTCCAGGATCCAGTTGCAGAGGGAGGTGTTTAGTCCCAGGATCCTTAGCTTAGTGATGAGCTTTGAGGGCACTATGGTGTTGAACGCTGAGCTGTAGTCAATGAATAGCATTCTCACGTAGGTGTTCCTCTTGTCCAGGTGGGAAAGGGCAGTGTGGAGTGCAATAGAGATTGCATCATCTGTGGATCTGTTGGGGCGGTATGCAAATTGGAGTGGGTCTAGGGTTTCTGGGATAATGGTGTTGATGTGAGCCATGACCAGCCTTTCAAAGCACTTCATGGCTACAGACGTCAGTGCTACTGGTCGGTAGTCATTTAGGCAGGTTATCTTAGAGTCCTTGGGCACGGGGACTATGGTGGTCTGCTTGAAACATGTTGGTATTACAGACTCAGTCAGGGACATGTTGAAAATGTCAGTGAAGACACTTGCCAGTTGGTCAGCACATGCTCGGAGTACACGTCCTGGTAATCCGTCTGGCCCTGCGGCCTTGTGAATGTTGACCTGCTTAAAAGTCTTACTCACATCGGCTACGGAGAGCGTGATCACATAGTCATGCTGAAACCACATCAAAGACATCAAAACTATGAAATAACACTAATATGGAATCATGTAGTAACCAGAAAAGTGTTAAACAAATCCAAATATACCCTTTACCTTGATGACAGCTTTGCACACTCTTGGCATTCTCTCAACCAGCTTCATGAGGTAGTCACCTGGAATGCATGTCAATTAACTGGTGTGCCTTGTTAAAAGTTAATTTGTGGAATTTCTTTCCTTCTTAATGCGCTTGAGCCAATCAGGTGTGTTGTGACAAGGTAGGGGTGGGATACAGAAGATAGCCCTATTTGGTAAAAGACCAAGTCCATATGATGGCAAGAACAGCTCAAATAAGCAAAGAGAAATGACAGTCCATTATTACTTTAAGACATGAAGGTCAGTCAATACGTAAAATGTCAAGAACTTTGAAAGTTTCTTCAAGTGTAGTCGCAAAAACCATCAAGTGCTATGATGAAACTGGCTCTCATGAGGACCGCCACTGGAAAGGAAGACCCAAAGTTACCTCTGCTGCAGAGGATAAGTTCATTAGAGTTAACTGCACCTCAGATTGCAGCCCAAATAAATGCTTCACAGAGTTCAAGTAACAGACACATCTCAACATCAACTGTTCAGAGGAGACTGCATGAATCAGGCCTTCATGGTCGAATTGCTGCAAAGAAACCACTACTAAAGGACACCAATAAGAAGAAGAGACTTGCTTGGGCCAAGAAACACAAGCAATGGACATTAGACCAGTGGAAATCTGTCCATTGGTCTGATGAGTCCAAATTTGTGATTTTTGGTTCCAACCGCCGTGTCTTTGTGAGACGCAGAGTAGTTGAACGGATTATCTCTGCATGTGTGGTTCCCACCGTGAAGCATGGAGGAGGAGGTGTGATGGTGTGGGGGTGCTTTGCTGGTGAACTGTCTGTGATTTATTTAGAATTCAAGGCACACTTAACCAGCATGGCTACCACATCATTCTACAGCGATACGCCATCCCATCTGGTTTGCGCTTAGTGGGACTATCATTTGTTTTTCAACAGGACAATGACCCAACACACCTCCAGGCTGTGTAAGGGCTATTTGACCAAGGAGGAGAGTGATGGAGTGCTGCATCAGATGACCTGGCCTCCACAATCACCCGACCTCAACCCAATTGAGATAGTTTGGGATGAGTTGGACCGTAGAGTGAAGGAAAAGCAGCCAACAAGTGCTCAGCATATGTGGGAACTCCTTCAAGACTGTTGGAAAAGCATTCCAGGTGAAGCAGGTTGAGAGAATGCCAAGTCGTGCAAAGCTGTCATCAAGGCAAAGGGTAGCTAATTTGATACTCAAATATAAAATATATTTTGATTTGTTTAACACTTTTTTGGTTACTACATGAGTCCATATGTTTTATTTCATAGTTTTGATGTCTTCACTATTATTCTACAATGTAGAAAATAGTAAAAATAAAGAAAAACCCTTGAATGAGTAGGTGTGTCCAAACCTTTGACTGGTACTGTATAAATGGAATAACTAAAATATAGTGTTCAGCTCCCTGAGTCAATAAATTATAGAAACACCTTTGGTATTGATTACAGCTGTGAGTCTTCTTGGGTAAGTCTAAGAGCTTTGCACACCTGGATTTAGCCATATTTGCCCATCATTCTTTTCAAAATTCTTCAAGCGGTCACAGTAAGAACACGCATATGCATACAAGCAACAGTACACCCATCAGTACTTTTAATAAAAATAAACAATCGTCAGTTTTATTTTCTCAATGTATAATGATTTGTGTAAAACTAATAGTTACACCCATTGCTGATGATCTAGCCACGCCCACTTCCAGAAACACTCCACAAATGCAGTTACCCATACAGTACATTAGGAATTAGCCACAGTTTGTCATGGGGCAACCTGGTCTCAGAGAATGTCGTATTATCCTGTACTAAATCAGAGACACTCCATTTAGTATGATACTACTGTATGTTATGTTTGTATGGTATGTATTCATTTGTGGATGTCCATCACCCATTATGTAAGATATATTATGAATTACAATTCGTATTATAAGTAACGAATTTGCACAATGTACAATATCTTACGAATTTTCTAAATGTCTTATATGTTACGAATTTGCAAATAGTTAAATATGTTACAAATTTGCTAAACATATTATATGTTACGAATTCTGGCTAGGTGGCTAACATTAGTTAGCTCGCTAACGTTAGCTAGGCTACGGGTTAGGGTTAAGTGTTAGGGTTAAGGTTAGTGTTAAGTTTAGGAGTTAGGTTAAATGGTTAAGGTTAGGGTTAGGGGAAGGGTTAGCTAAAAGGGTTAAGGTTAGGGTTAGGTGAAGGGTTTGCTAAAATTGTTAAGGTTAGGGTTAGCTAACATGCTAAGTAGTTGCAAAGTAGCTAAAAAGTAGTAAGTAGTTGAAAAGTCGCTAATTATCTAAAATGCTAAAATTGTCCATGATACGATTTGAACTTGCAACCCAAAAGCTAGACGTTTACGTTGAACAACCACGCATCCACCCGATCATCTATCTTTTTGTAATCATACGAAACTAAGATATCACACGAAACGGATTTATGTACAGCATAATACGAAATGCTCTGAGACCAGGTTGCGTGGGAGGGAGAAGACAAAACCTGTAAGACAGGCCTATAACGTGACGAACAATATAAAATAAGTCTCTGTTCGGAACTCACGAAGGCTTTAAGAGGAAACAACTGAAAAACATTATCTTGTGTAACGTGGATATTTATGTGATTGAGCACCGAGTCCAAAGACACAGGTAGGCTTTCACAAACAGTGACGTCTCACAAACAATTATGTTTTGATAGTCAATGACCAGAACGTTTTTATCTAGGTCCGCTACAGAAACAAAGGTAGGAGAAGTTTATGCTGCTGTAAAATGGGAATTACGAGAAGTCGGATGTGGTGGTAACTGACAGACACGCACTGTAGTCGACGAGCATCAGTAATAGAGGTGCCTTATGGGGCTGGGAATACGATTGATCTATTATTATATTCATTAGCCGACGTCGAATAAATTGTATTACTGGATAATGACAGAGATAAACAGCTTCATAATACTTTCAATTTGTTTTGTATATGCACTGTGATACGTAAATGAAACACAATATGCATCACAGTTTTATAAAAGGTAGACTGCTCTTTTTGAATAGTCTACACTATCATAAACTATTACGTATTTGGACAAAAATAATCTTAATTCTACAAGCACTGCTCCTTCAATGACTCTCACAGAAGTGCAATTGATTTGGCTATTTTAATTTGCTTTTGTGTTGTTGGCATTGTACCACAGAATGAGTCAATGGAAACAAATTCAACAGCTAGAGATCAAATACCTGGAGCAGTTGGACTACCTTTACGATGAAAACTTCCCTATGGACATTCGGCAGGTGCTTTCCGACTGGATTGAGAGCCAGGACTGGTGAGTGTGTGTGCCAGTCTTTATGTGTGTCTTTATATATGTGTGTGTGTCTGTCTGTCTGTCTTTATGTGTGTCTGTGTGTCTTTGTGTATCTGTATGCGTGTCTTAATGTGTGTTTGCACGCATGTATGCATGTGGTTTGGAGTGTCAAAACTACACTACAACACTGGAATAACAATAGATATCAAGTTGGGTTTCTGGTGAGAATATTCAGGAACTGAAACATGGCAGCTTCAAAGCCTTTGCATCTCAGGCAAATAAAAAAGGATAAAGTCCAATAAGATATGCTGTCATTGAATTGAACCTTAAAGGCCACAGTGACTTTCTTTAATGCAACCGAGACACACTAAAACACACAAATGTACAATCTCAATTGGTGCAATAACTGGGCTGTGTGCAATTTTTATTTTTTAATAGGTACTTTACAAATATAATCAGGTCCCACAGCTAGGTCCCTGATCTCTGTTTCTAAAATGTCTGTTGATACATAATGTTTTCACTGCAGATGTAAATTAGCTGTCAGCTAAATCTTTTCATATGGCTGGATGTCCTTTGGGTAGTAGACCATTCTTGATACACACAGGAAACTGTTGAGCGTGAAAAACCCAGCAGCGTTGCAGTTCTTGACACAAACCAGTGTGCCTGGCACATACTACCATAACCCATTCAAAGGCACATAAATATTTTGTCTTGCCCATTCACCCTCTGAATGGCACACATACACAATCCATGTCTCAATTGCTTCAAGGCTTAAAAATCCTTAATTAACCTGTCTCCTCCCCTTCAGCTACACTGATTTGAAGTGGATTTAACAAGTGACATCAATAAGGGATTATAGCTTTCATCTGGATTCACCTGGTCAGTTTATGTCATGGAAAGAGCCGGTGTTCTTAATGTTTTGTACACTCAGTGTATCTTCTACATGTTCTTATTAATCACATTTTGATTGAGCACTGAACACTGTGAAATTAGATACACTTTATCTTAGCTTTGTATGTGCCTTTTTCAGGGATATGGCCGCAAACCATGAGTCCATGGCGACAGTTCTCCTCAGCAATCTCCTGTCTCAGTTGGACAGGCAGTGTTCTCAGGAACAGAACTTCCTACAAAGACACAACCTGAAGATCATCAACCAGCAGTTACAGGTGCCACAACAACCTGCCTTACAATACCATACACCCCGGGCAAAAACAATCAAAACAATAATCGGTAGCACTGGTGATTCCAATTTAAAAAAGTTAGGCGCACAACATAACATTTAGGAGCATCAGAAAAGCAGATTTGTACATTGATTTAGATAAAGCCTTTATTGGGCCTATATGCATTCTAGCTACGTTTTGAAGCACATGCTGTGCCCTAGAAACTAATAACCCTTTAAAGGCATTGTTTATTATAAAAAGCTAAAATGTTGATACAAATACCTGCATGCTGAAATCTACCGCTCAGATTTTTTTTTACATAAGCCTATGCAACAATAACCTATTAAAAACAGTTCTGTAGCAATGAGGTTTGTGCAGTAGGCTATAAGCCCAATACATTATCACTGCATATTGGCTATGCTTGAATTGCCCTGCCAATGTTGTTGAGGTATATGATCAGTTGTTGTATTACTTGTGTAAGCATACATGTAAATAATTAGCTTTTTTTTTTTTACTGGACTGATGGTGCCTGCTTCTGATGGTCAGTTTCAGCAGAGGGAGGGAGGGAGAGAGCAGCAGAGGGTCCGCCTCTCACCATCCCTCCGCTCTCCCTCCCTCTGCTGACACCGTCTTCCCGCTGATGGCGACACGTGCATCGCATTACTTCTGCCTCATGCACAAATTCATGTTACTCCTATGACCAGAGAAAGTGAAATATTTCTTGATGTTAAAATGGACAAAAGCCGCTGATAATAACAATGCAAGCATTTCGATACACTTTCCTACTCATTCATTGCAGCTGCAGTGCTGGTTGAAGTGCGAGTGGAAGAAGCTAATGTTATGGCTTATAAAAGGGTTGAATAAAAAGTGTTACAGTGCTGAGTAAAAACGTAAAGATGAACTCACTCATAAAAACAGCAGCTCTTTGCTGTAGTTGTTGACAGTCTCTCTAGTGATAGTTTTAAAAATTTAGAAATCTCACAGTATAAATTTTGCTGTGTGCTCGAGGAATCTGCAGACACTGTAATTTGAGCTCTCCGATTGGCCAGCCGTAGGCCTATAAGTGCACTTGATTTGCTGTGTCCAGGACCGTGTGGTATGGCACTCGGCGACAGCGATACAGCGAAGCCTAATCATAAACAATTATTCTGGGTGATATATTTGTTTTTTGTAGTCGAACTAGTGCTCTCAAAATAAAAATCCAGGTCACACAGCAAATTATTTAGGAGCATATGCGACCAAAATGGTCGCACTTTAGAGCCCTGCATACACCTAACCTAGTTAAAACCCGACTGAACGCTGCGCTAAATCAGTTTGCCAGCCTACCATACACCATGCAAATCCAACATTGATAACATCAAATAGTCTGTCCTTGTAATTTATGTATCCATGCATTGAGGTGATTTAGCACAACCAACCCATAATTTAGCACAACCAACCCATGGGGAATGTCACTGTGTAGTCCAAGGTTAATCAACTACTATTTGAGAAGGTCCGGTCACACATATCTCCTAGATGGCAAAGGTCCGGATGGATATTGTAGTTTATCGGCTTAGTAACAAACCCCAGCCTCGCAACCCATGTGACCCCAACTGTTCAAACTGTTCCCACCCCTCTTGTTGGTAGAGAGAACATTTTGCAGTTTTAAAGCTCATTCCCTGCAATTCTACACATTTAGCCATGGAGCGGAGAGAAAATTTAGCATTTTTAAAGCTAATTTCCTGCAATTCTGCACATTTTGCCATGTTTTGATACCTGAGTCAATGGGGGCCCTCTAGGGGTTGAAGCCCCTGGGAACGTAATCTGGCCATGATAACTACAATATTTAGATGGCTGGTTAGCCTAACTTCCCCATCTAGCTAACATGGCCAGTAGTTGATCAACTGGACATTTCTGACAGGAATAAAATAAAATATCTCTAAGGTCTGTCAGTGAATAACATAACAAGAGGAAAACTGCCCATGCACTACCAGATTTTGAAATTGATCCTTGTGCATTCTACTATTACAACTCTCAGCAGCAGTAAATTAAAGGGATACTTAAGGATTTTGGCAATTCATCCCTTTATCTACTTCCCCAGAGTCCGATGAACTCATAGATACTATTTTTTATGTTTCTGTGTGTAGTTTGAAGGAAGTTGCTAACTAGCGTTAGCGCAATGACTGGAAGTCTATGGTAACAGCTGTGCTAACGCTAGTTAACATTGGCTCGCGAAACCCTAATTCTACAAGCAAAACCCTAACTTCCTTCATACTGGATGTAGAGACATACAAATGGTATCCATCAGTTCATCTGACTCTGGGGAAGTACACTACATTACCAAAAGTATGTGGACACCTGTTTGTCGAACATCTCATTCCAAAATCATGGGCATTAATAAGGAGTTGGTCCCCCCTTTGCTGCTATAACAGCATCCACTCTTCTGGGAAGGCTTTATACTAGATGTTGGAACATTGCTGCGGGGACTTGCTTCCATTCAGCCACAAGAGCATTAGTGAGGTCTGGCACTGATGTTGGGCGATTAGGCCTGGCTCACTGTTGGCGTTCCAATTAATCCCAAAGGTGTTCGAAGGGGTTGAGGTCAGGGCTCTGTGCAGGCCAGTCAAGTTCTTCCACACCGATCTCGACAAACCATTTCTGTATGGACCTCGCTTTGTGCACGGGGGCTTTGTCATGCTGAAACAGTTGCCACAAAGTTGAAGGCACAGAATCATCTAGAATGTCATTGTATGCTGTAGCGTTAAGAGCTCTTCAGTAAGGCCATTCTAAAGGCAATGTTTGTCTATGGAGATTGCATGGCTGTGTGCTTGAGTTTATACACCTGTCAGCAACTGGTGTGGCTGAAATAGCTGAATCCACTAATTTGAAGGGGTGTCCACATACTTTTGTGTGTATGTGTATATATATATATATATAAGTATTAAAAGCCAGACTGTTGCAAAAAACTCAATTCTGGATCCGGATCCAGATGGCAGTACATCAGTTGAGTATGGCTGGTGTAGTCTGTGTGTTCAGTATGGATAGGGAAGTGAAAGATGATAAATGGCTGTTAACTTGTTTTTGTTATAGCTTTAGAGATTGGCTTACGCGTGTATTGGTCTTCCTCATACTGAGCATTCTTTCACTGATAAGTATGTTATTGTTGTCCCAGTCATAATTTGACCTCTTACCCTATTGAGGCGAATCAAAGAAACATGTTCGTAGTCTTGCTGAGGTCTCAGGACATTGACTGGTGGTAGTATATTTCTTTGATTCTCTGAGAATTGTACCTTAAAACACTAACAGGAATCGAAAATGGTTGTTTGAGGCTGATGGCCATGGGGCCACATTTCTGTGTTACACTAACTGATGTAGGAAAGACATACCTCAGCAGAACCTTGTGGTTTCCACACCTCCATTTCATGTGTGTATATGTGTGTGCAGATCGTGTGATGCCTCTCAGAGGAAGTTGTAGCACGAACATCGAGAGGTTTGGCTTGGGGTGGCGATGTGCGTTTTGTTATTGTTTAGGTGTAATGTCTATGACGCACAGAGGACAGACAGAAAATATCTCTTTCTAGGCAATAATTTGTGCTGAGTCTTCCTTGAAGGTATACAAGCATTGTTTGGGGTCCATTCTTTTCAACTCAGTCAATTTAGGGAATTCTATGCAAATGCATTTTATGAATCGAATAAACCCTTGTCCAATGTTTCATACCTGAATTGCATTTGGTTGTGATGGAATTGACCCTAACCTTGTATGGCACTGAATGGAAAAAAAACATTCAACCCACTATGCGAATACATTAGTACTGGAAATCAAGATTGCAGTGCTTATGTCTCATCCAAAGCTACACTCTTAGAAAAAAAGGTTACAAAATGGTTCTTCAGCTGTCCTCATAGGAGAACCATTGACATTAAAACATTTTGATTTTAGCAGACACTCTTATCCAGAGCGACTAGGGTTAAGTGCCTTGGTCAAGAGCACATTGACAGATTTTTCACCTATTCTGCTTGGGGATTCAAACCAGCAACCTTTCGGTTACTGGCCAAATGCTCTTAACCACTATGCTACCTGCCGCCCCAGCCAACTTCCAGGTAAAACCCCTTTTGCTTCCACTAGGCTACCTGCCGCCCCAGCCAACTTCCAGGTAAAACCCCTTTTGGTTCAGTTAGAACCCTTTTGGGTTCCATGTAGAACCCTCTCTGAAAACCAAAATGATTCTTCAAAGGGTGCTCCTATGGGGACAGCCGAAGAACCCTTTTAGGTTCTAGATAGCCTTTCCTACACTCTTTGAGCCGCCCATTCAGCACCTATTTTTCTAAGGGGATTTCTCTTGATCAGTTAACAAAGTCAGAGGGATGAAAGAGGGGTTTTACTGTCCTTCTCTGAATACAGTAGGCCGAATTACGCTGCTGAGCTGACGTTGTTTGTTTGTGCTGTAGTCATCATTGTGATGATTTAAAGGGTATCGCGTGGGTTTTCAAGACTGAATCACCCTCCTGTCATTGGTCACAGACAAAGACTGAAAGAGAAATCAGGTTTCACATGTTCACATCAAAATGTTCCCTTTTGTCACAGAGGCCTTGACAGAATCTGTGGCATTTCGCAAAACCAGATAAATTATGTCAAGATGCATGTGGTTTTTGATACAAGTTTTGCACTGAACTGGGTTCAGATCACAGAGACCGCTAAACTAACTAAAGGAACAAATTAAGGGGTACAGAGGGCAAGTCCATTCAAGGTTTTGTTCATTAGGGTACACTGTAGCAAAACAAGCATTTCTTATTGAATAAGTTCAGGTAATACCTCCATGTTTCACTCTTTCTTAAATGTTGTGCCTAATGAACACAGCCCATGTAGGCCTGGTCTTTTTACAGTAAATGGCTCCTTGTTCGCACTGTCATAGTAGACTTTAGGTTATGCAAAAATAATGTGTCTATACAGTGGGGGGAAAAAAGTATTTAGTCAGCCACCAATTGTGCAAGTTCTCCCACTTAAAAAGATGAGAGGCCTGTAATTTTCATCATAGGTACACGTCAACTATGACAGACAAATTGAGAAAGATGCATCCAGAAAATCACATTGTAGGATTTTTAATGAATTTATTTGCAAATTATGGTGGAAAATAAGTATTTGGTCACCTACAAACAAGCAAGATTTCTGGCTCTCACAGACCTTTAACTTCTTCTTTAAGAGGCTCCTCTGTCCTCCACTCGTTACCTGTATTAATGGCACCTGTCCACAACCTCAAACAGTCACACTCCAAACTCCACTATGGCCAAGACCAAAGAGCTGTCAAAGGACACCAGAAACAAAATTGTAGACCTGCACCAGGCTGGGAAGACTGAATCTGCAATAGGTAAGCAGCTTGGTTTGAAGAAATCAACTGTGGGAGCAATTATTAGGAAATTGAAGACATACAAGACCACTGATAATCTCCCTCGATCTGGGGCTCCACGCAAGATCTCACCCCGTGGGGTCAAAATGATCACGAACGGTGAGCAAAAATCCCAGAACCACACGGGGGGACCTAGTGAATGACCTGCAGAGAGCTGGGACCAAAGTAACAAAGCCTACCATCAGTAACACACTACGCCGCCAGGGACTCAAATCCTGCAGTGCCAGACGTGTCCCCCTGCTTAAGCCAGTACATGTCCAGGCCCGTCTGAAGTTTGCTAGAGTGCATTTGGATGATCCAGAAGAGGATTGGGAGAATGTCATATGGTCAGATGAAACCAAAATAGAACTTTTTGGTAAAAACTCAACTCGTCGTGTTTGGAGGACAAAGAATGCTGAGTTGCATCCAAAGAACACCATACCTACTGTGAAGCATGGGGGTGGAAACATCATGCTTTGGGGCTGTTTTTCTGCAAAGGGACCAGGACGACTGATCCGTGTAAAGGAAAGAATGAATGGGGCCATGTATCGTGAGATTTTGAGTGAAAACCTCCTTCCATCAGCAAGGGCATTGAAGATGAAACGTGGCTGGGTCTTTCAGCATGACAATGATCCCAAACACACCGCCCGGGCAACGGAGTGGCTTCGTAAGAAGCATTTCAAGGTCCTGGAGTGGCCTAGCCAGTCTCCAGATCTCAACCCCATAGAAAATCTTTGGAGGGAGTTGAAAGTCCGTGTTGCCCAGCGACAGCCCCAAAACATCACTGCTCTAGAGGAGATCTGCATGGAGGAATGGGCCAAAATACCAGCAACAGTGTGTGAAAACCTTGTGAAGACTTACAGAAAACGTTTGACCTGTGTCATTGCCAACAAAGGGTATATAACAAAGTATTGAGAAACTTTTGTTATTGACCAAATACTTATTTTCCACCATAATTTGCAAATAAATTCATTAAAAATCCTACAATGTGATTTTCTGGATTTTCTTTTCTCATTTTGTCTGTCATAGTTGACGTGTACCTATGATGAAAATTACAGGCCTCTCTCATCTTTTTAAGTGGGAGAACTTGCACAATTGGTGGCTGACTAAATACTTTTTTTCCCCACTGTACCTGGTATGGTCTCATTCCAATGGAATTATTCATTTTGTTTCTTCACACCTAATGGCACACCTGATTCTTCACACGCCTGATGGCATACTTTCTCTGTGGTGTGTCGGTGGAGAGCAATGACAGTACAGTGGGTTCAGGTTATTCAAGGATGTACAGTGTCTGGAAAAACACCTTTCAAATTAAATTAAATACTTCCTTATTGGTCAATAGACACTATACATTCTAAGGAGAAAGTAGGGCAAACCTAAAAGGCTCTGCATGGTCAATCCGGCATCTGCTTTGGCCGTACAGCATTTACGGCGATACGGCCTCTGCAGAAGTCAGGGCATTCATACTTCATGCGCTTCGCGGAGCAGCGCAGAGCTGTTGTGAAGGAAGTTGTCAAGGAAGTGAGTTTGTGTTTATGCAGGAACTCCCGCCCCCACCTACCGTCAACCAATCATGTCAATGCTGAGCTATACAGAGCCCTCCGCATTGATACAACATTTGGGAGTGACGTTGATCAATGAGATTACAACCAATATTCACCCACTCAAAAAGACAGCCAAAAGTTAGTTGAATTTCCAATGTGCTATCACTATACTTTCAACCATTTTAAAAAGCACAGCAAAGTTCAAATGGGAATACGATGTCAGATATTTTGTTTATTTATACAACAGATTGTGTTATCACTGTGCTTAATGTAATAGCAGGACCAAATGACCTGGATTGCAGTTGACATTACATCAAAAGTACATGGTGCAAGTGATCAATGCCGTTTGAGATTCTACGCAGATTATTACAGCAATTGTGAAGCTCTCCACAGACCTGCGACGATCTATGCATGCTATCGTGAACATGCAAGCTTTATATGATTACATAACATTACTTTTATAGTTTCAGTAACCTCAATATGGCCATGGATGTGTTACTCATTTTAAGGTTGAATGTTAGATTACTTAATATTATTGAATTGTGTTTGGTTGACAACATTTTAAAGGAGATGGATCTACTGCTGTCCATCTGAGCAACTGGCTTAGTCATATTCTTTAACTTAGATTTTTGGTTGAGATGGTGACGGGAATCCAACAAATATCAATTATTAATTTGAAAACCAACTGGAATTAAAGCCAGACAGTTCCACAGATGGAACTATCCAAGCAGAAGATCCATCTCATTCAAATATTGATATTTGGTTGCTTTGACAATAAAACACAATTCAATATCCTACAATTTCAAATCAGAGCTTTTTTTGTTGAATCCTCAATTTAAGCAATAGCTGTTGATGACTTTGCAAATGCTATATAGTCCTAAATAGCATCATTGATGATATTTGAGTGATAAAGTATGGTCACATTTCATAATTTGCTCTGTTAAACCTACCCTTTGGAATGACTTCGATAGCAACAATAAATCTATTTAGTTTTTATGTGGAGATTGCTCAACAATCATTCTCACTATAGCTCATTGGTATTAGTCAGTGACAAAAATAGCTACGCAAGGCTGGGCTTGGTTAAAACCCTGGATGGGAGACCAAAGGGTAGCTGTAGATAGATCAACTCTCCAGTAGGAGGTGCTGCCCAGCCTATAGTTTTCTTCTTCGGATAGTGGATATAACGTTAAAGATCTGACGTTGTTTTAAAATTCAACATATTTATATAAGGTTTGTCTATGTTGAAATTTGGTTACTATGATGACATATTCATGTGGTTGAAATTTTACCCTCATAACAACAGTTTAAGTTAAATACGTTGACAAATTACGTTGGAACATCATTGATTCAACCAGTTTGTGCCCAGTGGGTAGTGTGTAGAAGTGTGGTGGGACCGGGTTTAGATCGCATGCAGGCAGGGGCCTGCATATGTCAAGAGGCGTAGACAGCAGCATAATATTCCAGCGCCTGTCAACCCAACACATTAGCAGTTTCGCCGAGAGATTCAAATATCTTGACAAGGTCTCTAGGGGTGTGTGTGTGTTCATATGTCTATGTTCCTTTTCAGCTGAAATGCAAAGCCTACCCTCTGCTCATGGCCGGGGTCATCTCCACTTGCCTCAGAGAGGAGCGTCGTATCATCTCCACAGCCAGCAAACAGGAACAGGTGTGTCACTCTGTTATTACGTCACCAGGAAACCCCCATGATTTTCCCTCTGATCTCTCTTTCCTCAAAATACCTCGGAAAACAGAGGCAGTAACAGGAAGATTTAAGACTAAAGTGCAACAGAAAGGCCTGTGTGTGTGCATACAGATGTAGCATCTTAATTTGATCACCCTGTTGCAGGATGACTTTCCTGCAATGCAGGAAATGTTAAACTTGTAGTGTATTTGAGGTTTAAAAAGGCTTCTAAAGTTTGTCATTTTCTTTTACGAAAAATGTATCGACCCCAGTCATTATAATCCACATAATAATTCACAAACAGTATCCTGTTGCTGCAGGATTATTTTCCTGCTGTAGGAAACTGCCTCAAATTAAGATCCTACATCTGTATGTGTGTGGTTTACTTCACCTCAATATCTTCTTGACAGGGCCCATTGGAGAAGTCTATGCAGAACTCCGTGGCCTTCGAGAGACAGAAGAACATTGACAACAGGGTGGCGGTGATCAGGAGTAGTGTGCAGATGATGGACCAGGCAGTGAAATATCTAGAGGACATGCAAGACGACTTTGACTTCCGCTTCAAAACTATCCAGTCTCGAGGTCAGCTATATGGCCAATCTAAAATCCACTTTCAGCTCCTATCCCCTATGGACTCCCCGAAGATCTGAGATGATTTGATAGCTATCCTATAATATCGGAGAGCTGTAAGTAATATGGCAATAGCTGCGCCTTGCCCTCTGGTGGCCTGATGTGGTGGAATTATTGAATAACTAAGGGTAAGACTTTACTTAAGCCCTGCAGGTATAATGCATTATGATGAGGTTATAATGCATTATAAGACTTGTCATAAGCATATAGGCTTAAAATGGGCATTTTGGGATTTGAAAAACAACATAGCAATCACCCCACCACTTGTTATATTCTTCAAGAATCAATGGCTATACTGCATTCATTTGAAAGTCAAAAATGTTTGTACCAATCCCAGATTGCCCCTTTAAAGTGTTACCACTATGTTCTTTTCGCTGTCATATTAGATGTGTTTGTGTCCTTCAGATCCGGCGGACATGAACACGGAGGTGATGAAACAGGAAGTGACCCGACTGCAGGAGATGCTCAACAACCTGGACTTTAAGAGGAAGGTGTGGGGACACTGTTATATACATTAGATAAACCAGCAATCAGCTATGTTTTATCAGCTGCACCTTTTTACACTCTGGTTGTTACAATATGCTTCCTGTGACGCGTGTGAACAGTCGAAGCCCTTATCTTCTATCTAAACAGTCGTGGTCCTCTGTAGCTCAGCTGGGAGAGCACGGCGCTTGTAACGCCAAGGTAGTGGGTTCGATCCCCGGGACCACCCATACACAAAAAAATAAAATAATGTATGCACGCATGATTGTAAGTCGCTTTGGATAAAAGCGTCTGCTAAATGGCATATTATATTATTATTATTATTATCTGCGATGCCTTATCTGCGAGTGAATATGCGTTTTATTTGAGTTGGTGCCACCATTTGTCATTTATAACCATGGTAGGTACTTATGCAATTGCTGTCTGATGCAGTTTAAGTCTATACAACTCTATATGAATATTTATCTACAGTATATAGATAAAATTGTTAAAGCCTTCCCTTTTTTGGGGCCTGCGACACGTGGAGAGCACCATAGCGTCAAGCACAAAATTGCAAGTTTGATTAACATTGCAAAACAGTTCAGTCAGATTTGATATCAACAAATAATAATTGAATTCACTTTGGGGTTATACTATTTACATCAATTAGTGCATACATATTCATATGGGTTGGCCCCAGTGGGAATGCTAACACCATGCGCTTACCAACTGAGCCACACAGAAGACCGGACCAGTATTTATATTTTATTGTTCCGCCACAGGAGATCCTGTCTAAGATGAGTGATGTGATAAAAGAGATTGACGCTCTGATAGCCTCCCAGCTGAACCTAGAACTGATGGAGTGGAAACGCAGGCAGCAGATCAACTGTATAGGTGGCCCACCGCTCACTGGACTGGACCAGCTCCAGAACTGGTAAAACACACGTGCAGGAATGCATGAACGCACACACGCACGTATGCATGCATGCACGTACATATACTGTACACACACACACTAGTAAAGAAAGCCCTAATAAAGAAAGACACTGAACACATACACGCCCTAGTTTGAATCGCCAGAATCAGTCATTTTCAGATCAGCTTTGTGTTATCGCTTAACTCCTAACTCTATCTCATAACTCCTAACTCTATCCCAAAATACAGTAACTTGGGATTTTAATTGCTTGTCCCCTTTCCCCCTCTCGCTCTCCCAGGTTTACTCTGACAGCCCACAGTCTGTTCCAGATGAAACGTCAGCTGGACAAACTGGGAGAGCTTATCCTGAAGGTGACCTATGAGAGCGACCCCATCCCCCTGCAGAGACCGCAGATGGAGGAGCAGGTCAAACACCTCATCTACAACCTCATCAAAAGGTACTAACCTCAACGAACACACCTGTGGTCAAATACCTACCTAATCTAACTAAATGCATAATGTCAGACTACTTTAGACTCAGCGGCACCAGTTAAAACCAATAATAAATAAATAAATTGTCTGCCAGAGTCTCACTTTGGTTAAATTACCACACTTGTGCCTTAAAGTGAACTTAGAAAGACTGAACGTAAATGGAAGACCTGCAAACTTTAAGATGCAACTACACTTAAAGTCAAATAATGAATCAAATATCCATCACAAAATAATTATCCCAAAAAACTAAATTAATGGTCTTGTTGACAGGGAAATGGACTTGTGACTTATATTGCCTCCACCCAAATCTAGGTGGTGTACACAACTGCTATTGTAGTTCTCTTGGGTGCCATCTTTGTTTCATCCTTTGTGCAATTTCCACAGCTCATTTGTGGTGGAGAAGCAGCCATGGATGCCAACCCACCCCCAGAAACCTCTCATTATCAAGACTGGGGTGCAGTTCACCACCAAAGTCAGGTACAGTATGTGTATCAAGATGCAACACAACTCAATGGTGCTTATCAATCCGTTGTGTGTGTGTGAGTGCATATTAAATGTATGTTTTTGCTGAGTATTTCTGTTTGATCACGTTGTATATCCAGATTGCTGGTCAAACTCCCAGAGGTGGATTATCAACTGAAAGTGAAGACAATATTTGACAAGTGAGTTAGACATCCGCAAAAACATTTTAATATCCATCTCTTAGCCAATGTTTGTACACTGGTAGCAATGTAACACAGAAATATGTGGCACATTCGCTTTAAAGGGTGAGAGAACCAGTGGTTGCTCTTTGCAAGCTCTGTTACACATACTGTGTGTGAACATGTCATGGATATACTGTGTTCTATAAACGGAATGTTTCATAGACATTCATAAGCAAGCTGGCACTACATTACTGAGTAAATTTGCTATGTTCTATATTTTCTTTCCTGTGTAGGGACCTCCCCCCTGGCAGTGTGTGAGTATACCTGTGCAATCTCAATGTGGGCTGTTCCGTGGGGATTTCTTGTTATTGTTATTTAGGCCAATATCTAAGCTTCTAAGTAGGGATGAGATCGAACACTGACAAAAAGAGAAATATGAGAAGCCATGTTTGATTACAAATCAGATGACCCGGTTTAAGTGAACAGAATAATCACCTTTTTAGTTGCCTGGAATTCAACTTGAATTTGAGTTGTTTTTACCTCTGCATGCGTTTGCCATGCATCTTAGCTCATTTTGTGTGTGTGTGTGTTTGCTTAGTTCAGACGATTAACTATGGCTTTACCACATCCCTCTCCATTCAGACATCGTCAGTTTTTCATCCTGACTACCAACACCAAAGTAATGGACGTGGAGGAATCTTCTAATGGCTGTCTGTCTGTAGAGTTCAGACACTTGGTAACCGCTCACCTTCACTGTCCCCACTAACACACTAACATATTTATAATAATTAAAACTCAATCTGTTAATCCACAGGTTTAGTGAAACATTTTAGTGTACTCAAACTAATTTGGTCCAATGGGGCTGGCTGGCTGCAGCAGCCATATTGGATGTTTGCAATGACCCTATTATATTGCAAAACGTATTTCTTATGATCGCCCTGGCCTAGCTGTACATTCAATTGTGTGAATAGTTCATTTGATTATGCATTTCTGTATATTTATTATGAATTTAATTAATTAATACAAAATTATTTTTTTGTATCTTCAGCAGCTGAAAGAGAAGAAATATGTTAATGGCGCCAAGGTGAACGAGGTGAGAGAAATATGACAGTTGAACAATACTATTTGTTTTTCCCTAAATGACGGTGAAGGGTCAGTGATTCAAGCCTATCAAAAGGTGACACTTTACCACAGTGAACTTTAGAAAAGCTTGACCTTCAGATTTGTTTGCGGTTGTCACTAGTTACCACAGCCACAAACTCATAAACGCTGCCTATTTCTAAAATGTATCTTCTTAAAATCTGATTTGGCGATATAGCCAATTTTGACTTTGTGGCTGTGGTTACTAGTGCAAACCTTTGTTTTCCATGTTAGCCTTTTAGAACTGCTTTGGGGAGCAACTATAAGTCTTTAAATAACAACTACAAAAAATATTAATTCTGGTCAACCAGAGGTAATTTAATAAAAGTAATTGGACACTGAGGTGAATTAAGAGTTATGATTTATTTATTTTTAGAGGTCAATTATTTTGCCTGAGTTAAAAACACAACTCAAAAACACTTCCATTAAGAAAAGGTAGTTGCTTTCTTGAAACAGTAGAGGGCAACATTACCTTGGATTTACAAAGTTGTTCCCTCAATTTGAAGTTTAATTTTGAACTCCTTTTCAGGACAATGGTGCGTTTGTTTGTGTACGTTTCGAGATGGCACCATAATTTATCGCAGATGAAAAACCTTGTAAACTTTAAACAACGTACTCTTTCTGAGTTTTTTTAAAATCATAGATTGACGTTTGAATATACAAAAAGGAGTTTATTTGACCTTTTTATTCACATGACTCAACAAGATGGGTCAAGTCTTCCTTCACATGCTCTAAAGACTAGGATATAGGATCCTTATTTTATCCAGAAATTGACTGAATGAATACCGCTATTAAACTTCCCCCTATTACTCATATACTGTAGAGAAAATATTATTACTTCATTGGAGATTGTTTCTCTGGAGTTTTCCCAGCCTTGTTATGGAATGATGTTCTTTGTTAAATTCCTTATCCTGTTGATAGAGCTTGTCATGTTTGTCATTGAAATGTAGGAAACTTTTTAGTGGGTCACTCACTGAACAAAAAAGGTTTAATAGCCCTTGGCTACTGTATTTCATGCGTTCTGAGGAAAAGGTTTAGTAAAGTGTGTGTGTGTATTCTGCTGGTTCCAGGGTCCTCTCTCTGTGACGGAGGAGCTCCACTCCCTCAGCTTCGAGGCCCAGTTCAACATACAGGGCATTAACATCGACCTGGAGGTCAGTCAGTCTGCACACTCCTTCACACGTCCTGTATACGACACTCCCACACACATTCTTACAATACTCCACACATAATCCCTCACACACCCCATATAACCCCCACATAGTCTTCCTGGCATACATTGTCAGTCATCATTAGTCCTTGTCTAATGTTAGGTTATGTAGTTTAAGTCTTAGGAGCATGATTAAATACTTCCACACTCCATACCCAGGGGGCAGCACCAACAGGGTTTAAATGCTGTGCCAAGCCTTTATAAGCCCACAGGTGCAAGCAATCAAGGTGATCGTCAGTCAGAGCCGTGAGGCTGCTTGTTTGTTTGGTGGACATGAGGCCTTTATTTTGGCTTTGAGTCTTTAATTTGGGTATGCCTCTTTGTAGTTTTCCTTTTTGTTTGTTTATTTTCGTCACCATCTGAACAAATAATAATCCGCTTGGGCTGGCCCTGAACTCTGTAATTTTGCTGTGTCCTGGGTACATGCATTCAACACCTGGTCGCATATGCTTACTTGTCATATTAATGCACACATCAAGTCAGGTTACAGAACAATTAGGCAAGCCTAGGTTCCCTAGACCCAGAGAGTGTAGTATAACAGTAGGATGTCTATTCAGTTCTGTAACAGTAAGCATATACTTTGTGGGTGCAGTCAGGTCCATAATTATTGGCCTACTTGCATGCTCAAGAAAAAGGAAATATTATTATTTTATACTAATACAATTGCTCAGAGAGATTTTGTTTAACTAGTAATACAAATTATTGGCACCCCTGTTTTCAGTACTCTAGCACCTTCCCCTTGCAAGGATAACACTGAGCCTTGAAAAAAATTGTTTTGAGATTGGAGAACACATTGGGAGGGATCGTATGTGTGTGTCTCTCTCTCTGCAGACCTACTCCTTTCCTCTGGTGGTCATCTCCAACGTTAGCCAGCTGCCTGGAGGCTGGGCCTCCGTCATGTGGTACAACCTGTTGACTGACGAACCCAGGGTGCGCTGAGATCTCTCTCTCTCTCTCTTTCTCTCTCACACACACACAAACACACGCTACCATTGTTTTAGGTGTTATCTTTTATCCCTTTCTCCTCACCTCTCTAACCCTCTACCTCTCTCTCTCTCTCTCTCTCGCTATAGAACCTGGGCTTCTTTGCCAGTCCTCCGCGGGCCAGTTGGGGCCAACTCGCTGAGGTGCTGAGTTGGCAGTTCTCCACTTACACTGGGCAGGGCCTCAACAGGGAGCAGCTGTGCATGCTGGGGGAGAAACTCATGGGTACGGCGGCCCAGTGGTACACTTCATCAGAGCATAAAACACTGTTGGCATACATACACCATTATTTTGCCCAGTTCATGAGGAACAGCGCACCCTCCCAAGTATTTTCAAGTTTGGCAGAACAGCAATGTGAATTATCAGAGATGATTTAGAATCTGTCTGACTTCCAACCACCACAAGTATGGAATCATTCTATATTATCTAAGGATTGTGTTATTTTTGTTCAAGAATAGCTGAATATTCATTCTTAGTGTATGAATGTGTACTGGTTTGTTGATCATCAGAATTATATGAATAATCTTCACTGTAGGTCAGCAAGCCTCCCACAATGAATGTCAGGTATCCTGGTCCAAATTCTGCAAGGTAGGTCAAGCAGTCCTACATTCTCCATCTTGACTTGACTTATTCATTTCAGCTCCTAGTGGAGTCATTCTCCATCAACAATTAATAATGCCTCACTTCCTCTCAGCCTACTTCATTGGTCAAATTAAATTGATAACTTGAGGCTCTTTTTTTCTGAAAGATGCCATATACTTTTAAGGATATTTTCTCATCTCTCTTTCCCATTCTGTCTGCTTTTTCCAGGAGAATATTCCCGGGAAGCCTTTCAGTTTTTGGGTGTGGCTGGATTCCATCCTGGATCTCATCAAGAAGCACCTGCTTCCCATCTGGAACGACAAGTGAGATTTGGGGCCTGTCAGAAACAACCCCTATCCCCTTCCCCTTAGGGAGATTGACGAGGGCGGCATTTTGCGAGCTAAACTCACCAAAAATACGCACTTCCAACAACATATAACACCTCACATAATTCTGCCCAAACACAATGAAAACTTCTCTCACCAATTTGCATATGGGCTATTTAGGTGAGTGCTGATGACGCCCCATAATAAGCAGTGCCCACTTTGCCAAAGGCAGGGGCGCAAAAATATTTAGCTTACCCATGCCCAGTGCGCCTCTCCAAGGTGCTGTTGGAGAGATGCAGCGCTGTGGCGCTCCAACAACTCTCTGTCAAATACATCTAACATAAATCATGTAGCATATAGAAAGAGTAGTAGCCTCTGTGGTTTTTCTGTAGCCTACAGACTGGAGAACAAATTCATGACACACTTTTTACATCATTAAATAGCCAAAATTGTGGTGCCCCATATCAAATAGCCTAAATGGCGCCCCATATCAAATAAAACATTTGCTTTGATGAAAATATGACTTTAAAAAAACACCATATCCTAAAAACAGGACGGGTCCAAATAAAATGGACAATATTGAATTAAATTAGACTACTCAACTGCTAAATTGTCATGATGATCAGTGATTTCAAGTTTGTATTTGTCCGTTTTTGACGAGCTGATTCAAAGTGAATATTGAAAATACTTCTGCATTTCCCAGTGTGTAAATACATAGATTCTCATTGCAAATTGGCTCCAGATAACTCCTGATGAACTTGGGTAGCTGATATTATAGTCTTAAGCTTTTGTCAGGAATCAATCAAGCCAATGCAACTACCTGTTTTACAAACGGTAGCCTTCATAAAACTGCATAGCGGGCCGATACACCGATACTGAAGCCTACACTATTCTAGTTTTGCAGTAATCAGGAAGTGAATCATTAGGTTCAGTTCCATTTGAATGGATTTAATCTATTCACTCAGAGGGCTTTAGAACACTGTGTACTCTATTACATTAGTGGGTGTTAATGCATAATGTAATAGTGGTGTAATTTATGGTGTGGTTTGCTTGTGCTTCTTCAGCTGCATCATGGGCTTTGTCAGTAAGGAGACAGAGAGGGCCCGTTTGAAGGACAAGGAGCCTGGGACATTCCTGCTGCGCTTCAGCGAGAGCCACCTGGGTGGGATCACCTTCACCTGGGTGGAGCAGTCCGACAGTGGTGAGGCCCGCTCGGTTGTCAATTACTGTGGTGTCGTGAAACATGTATCTTGAAGAGGCTATATGGAACTTTTGCATCTGCCCTTGAGCCAAAAAGGGTCCCCTTCATGGAGATACATATTGTCCAGAAATGACCTCATTAGGGGTCACACCTCCCCACACCCATTAGTAAAATCATATTGTTTTCCTAAGATAATGTGGTGGTTTCATAAGATAATAAATGGATTCATATTTTATCTGAACCATGCGGTCAACATTCAAATCCCAAATTTGACATAAACAATTAGCACCTAAACTTCCAGTGTCTTAATATTTATTCTGTAAACATCCAACTCTGATTGGCTCTTTGGTTGTGTCTGTGTCAGCAGGAGAGGCTAAGTTCATCTCGGTGGAGCCATACACCAAATCACGCCTCAGCGCTCTCCCGTTCGCCGACATCATCCGGGACTACAGGGTCATCGCAGACGGAGAGGTCCCCGAGAACCCGCTCAAGTACCTCTACCCCGACATCCCCAAAGACGAGTCCTTCAGACGACATTACAAAAGTCAGCAGAGCAAAGGCAAGATGGCTGCCGAGACATGTTTATGATGGAGAGGGTTTTGGGTTGTATTTTAGATATAGGAATTCTGACCAACTAGGGTTCCAGCAACTTCTCTATGAATGAGAGTAAGTATGTTATGGGGGTGCAACATTTTCTCATTGTTTTCTGGGGATGTTTTTTATGAATACCTGTGTGGTATCTAGTTACTGGGGGAGGGGACAGGGGGGTGGTTGGTGCACAACATGCAATTATCTATTATTTTTACTAAAATGGCCATATTCTCCTATTTTATCTTCTTGCAGTCTTTCCATACATACCATCTACATGGATCCCCATCTCCTTTGCAGTGAGTACAGAACAGTTTGTTATGATCTTATAATTTGTGCAGACCAGACATTGCATGCAGACCTGTGCCGAAGATGTGTATTTGAAATACACCTATTGTAGGATATATTAGGTAGATGTACAGTTTTATTTATTTATTTATTTATATATATATATATATATATATATATATATATATATATAACACACACAGAAGTATGTGGAACACCCCTTCAAATTAGTGGCTTCGACTATTTCAGCCACACCGTTCCTGACAGGTGTATAAAATCGAGCACACAGCCATGCAATCTCCATAGACAAACATTGGCAGTAGAATGGCCTTACTGAAGAGCTCAGTGACTTTCAATGTGGCACCGTCATAGGATGCCACCTTTCCAACAACTCAGTTCATTACATTTCTGCCGTGCTAGAGCTGCCCCGGTCCGCTAAGTGCTGTTATTGTGAAGTGGAAATGTGTAGGAGCAACAACCGTTAAACCGCAAAGTGGTAGGCCTCACAAGCTCACAGAACGGGAACGCCAAGTGCTGAAGCGCGTAAAAATCGACTGCCTCTGTTGCAACACTCACTACCAAGTTTCAAACTGCCTCTGGAAGCAACGTCAGCACAAGAAGTGTTCATCGGGAGCTTCATGAAATGGGTTTCCATGGCCGAGCAGCCGCACACAAGCCTAAGATCACCATACGCAATGCCAAGCGTCGGCTGGAGTGGTGTAAAGCTTGCCGCCATTGGACTCTGGAGCAGTGGAAACTTATTCTCTGGAGTGATCAATCACGCTTCACCATCTGGCAGTCCGACGGACAAATCTGGGTTTGGCGGATGCCAGGAGAATGCTACCTGCCCCAATGCATAGTGCAAACTGCAAAGTTTGGTGGAGGAGGAATAATGATCGGGGGCTGTTTCATGGTTCGGGCTAGGCCCCTTAGTTCCAGTGAAGGGAAATCTTAACGCTACAGCATACAATTACATTCTAGATAATTCTGTGCTTCCAACTTTGTGGCAACAGTTTGGGGAAGGCCCTTTCCTGTTTCAGCATGACAATGCCCCCGTGCACAAAGCGAGGTCCATACAGAAATGGTTTGTTTAGATTGGCGTGTAAGAACTTGACTGGCCTGCACAGAGCCCTGACCTTAACCCCATCCAAAACATTTGAGATGAATTGGAACGCCGACTGCGAGCCAGGCCTAATCGCCCAACATCAGTGCCCTACTTCACTAATGCTCTTGTGGCTGAATGGAAGCAATGTTCCAACATCTAGTGGAAAGCCTTCCCACAAGAGTGGAGGCTGTTATAGCATTAAAGGGGGGACCAACTCCATATTCATGCCCATGACTTTGGAATGAGATGTTCGACGAGCAGGTGTCCACATACTTCTGGTCATGTAGTGTATGTTAGTCAGTGGAGGCTCCTTTTTTTAGATAAAACTATACTAAATATATTCACGTCACCAAATAATTGATTGAAACACACCGTTTTGCAATGAAGATCTACAATAGCCTCAACAGCACCCTGTATGGTAGCACCATGGTGTAGCCAGAGGACAGCTCATCCTCCTCTGGGTACATTGACCTCAATAAAAAACCTAGGAGACTCATGGTTCTCACCCGCTTCCATACACTTACACAGTAATTATGTCAACTTCCGGAGGATGTCCTCCAACCTATCAGAGCTCTTGTAGCATGAACTGACATGTCCGCCCAATCAAAGGATCAGCGAATAAATCAAGTACTGAAAGCATAAGCTACAGCTAGCAAGCACTGCAGTGCATAAAATGTGGTGAGTCGTTGATTCAAAGAGAAAGACAATAGTTGAACAATTTTGAAATTAATTTCTTAAAAAATGAAGTAAGAGAGCGAGAGAGCTAGCTCTATTTCTTTTGTATTTTCTTTAACTTAGCTAGTGAATGCAGCTAGCTAGTTTAGCTTACTCAAACACCCGGTTCAAACAGAGTTATGTTAGCTAGCTGGCTATGGCTATCCAACACTGGAACTCTTCCAAGTCAAGGCTTTTGTTTTTATTAATTTATTGACATTGGGGCCCGCCAGTGTAACTGCTAAACTGCTTACTGACTGTACACTATACTGCATGATTGTAGTGCTAATATGGTGACAGCGATGTAGGCTGTGTGTCGAGGTTAGCAGTTCTGAAAGGAAGTTTTGGCTTGAAAGTTTTTTTTTTTTTTTTAATTTTTTTTTTATGCCTGGTCACAGACAGCTTATGTGTTATGCACAAGCGAAGGGAAAATGTGAGAAGAGGAGAGCGCGTAGCTGCAAGAAGGAATTATACAACGAGTGAAGTGATCATGCTGGTTGTATGTGGCTGCTATGAAAGTGAAGTGTTTGCATATGATCAGGGGTGTATTAATTCCGCCGATTCTGTTGAAAAACGGTTCTTAAACGGAAGCAAATGGAACGAAACGGAAATAAACATACCTGAATTTGTCCAATCGTTTGCAACTGTTGGACTAATGATTACACCCTAAATCAGCTAGATGCAGGTAAGAGTGTGCAAGGCGGTATTGAATGTGTCACTGTGTCACCTTGATTACTCAACGTTTTCTCTCGACCTGTTGTTTCTACGTTGTAAACTTTTATTTATAGGCTTGGTTGTAGCAACCTCATGATGGGTATAGGGAAAATGTTAGTATCATGTAGTAGCTTAAACCTATCGATATTACATTGAGCTGGGTGAATGGAATATGAATGACGTCATCCAATATGCTGTAATAGAAATAAGCCCATGCTCATAAAACAAATAATCGTCCTCCCTCTTAAACAGCACCGACCGCCACTGTTAGATATATTATTTTAAATATCCTATGTTTCTCTAGTCTAAACCATTCCCTTGGCTTATGTCCATCTTGCTTTCTTTCTCTCCACTGCTGACGCCCCCAGCGCCAAACCTCCTACTCCCCAGAACCCCCATGTCCCCTGGGATGTTGGACGAACTCACCCAGCACCTAAGCCCCTTGGAGATTGAGACTACCGTGAGTACAGTAACCTCCCCACCTAAAGTCACACAGCAGCTAGCCTAGTCCCATACTGCAGGCCTATCAACTGTAGCCAACTCATCCATCATTGCAGAGACGCAGTTGCCGCTAAGCCAGTCTCCAAATGGACTGAACCTGCCGAAACTCAAAACAATCTTTATCTTCTAGTTGCATTGTCATCAGTTATGCATTTGTCTGACTTTTACTTTCCTATTGATATACAGCTGAGTTCTCTGTACTCCGAGTAACACAAGATGACCTGCGGAGTATGCCAAGTAACTCCTCTACGACTTGTGTTCTACTGAGGCCCACTGGATGTGGCATTTTCTTACATCTCATCACAATATATTGCTGTTCTATCCAACTGCTAGTATTGTCTTTGAGCCCATTGTCATGAATACAAATGTATAATATGTTGTAAGCGTAAAGTAGATATTAAATGCAGTGGTACATCCAGTGTGTTATATCACTTCTCATAAATTGACATCTTTAATTGTATTGTGCGTATTTAATTGTGTGTTATGAAATGTATTGTATAATGCTGTTGATTTCTGTTTCTCAGTAATTTTTTGTCTGTTATTGTTGGACTATATGTCTTAAACTTCTCTATCAAGAATAAATATTTATTTTCGCATTGTCTTTTTCATTAGTTTAGCTACCAATTTGATATTTTTGCACTAAGAGCCCAAGGCCTCTCCAGTAGAAAAAGGGTTTAACTACATATGATTTCCCCTATTGTCTTTACTACTGAGTAATGGTATACATATTGATAGCTGTAATGGCCCATGGTCAACAATAAGAGGATGGATAAAATATTGTACTGGACAAAGCAATATTTTTCATCAGATTTCCTCTCCTTGAATAAAGAGTACTCTGACCTATGGAATATTAATTTCCTTTGTTTTTATTAATTGACTAATGACTGCTTATCAGGTTGTAGCCAGCTACATTCGTTCGCAGCGACGCCGTTTTTCAAACAAAGTCAACACATCTACATTTACGGCATTTAGCAGACGCTCTTATCCAGAGTGACTTACAAATTGGTGCATTCACCTTATAGCCAGTGGGATAACCACTTTACAATATGTTTTATTTATTTATTGGGGGGTGGGGTAAGGGGGGGTAGAAGCTGCAGCCATTGCTAGCTAGCCAACACTACCAGCTAGCAGTACTGTAGCAACTAAATACAATATCATTTTAGTCAATGAGAATTTAGCAACGTAAAGCTTCACTTTCTGAACATTCGAGATGTGTAGTCCACTTGTGTAGCTAGCATGACTGACCTTGTGCTAGCTAGCCAACGTTTAATTATTTCTGCGTTATGAAAGGAACTAGACACGGACATAAATGATCTGTTTAGTGTGTTAACACACTATTGGTAGTTTGTTGTAACAAAGTATTGGTGCTAAACCGTGTGTTATTGGATGCTAGCATGCTAGTTATCTATGGCGTCATAGGATACGGTGCCCTGGGTGGTTTTCACGGAAGAATACTGTACCAAGTTAGCTAGCCTAAGTTAGTCTATTACTAGGAAACATTGAACCGCTGTAGTTTACAACAATTATAATTTCTAAAGTGGTCCTCTGTAGCTCAGCTGGTAGAGCACGGCGCTTGTAACGCCAAGGTAGTGGGTTCGATCCCCGGGACCACCCATACACAAAAAAAAAAAATTATGCACGCATGACTGTAAGTCGCTTTGGATAAAAGCGTCTGCTAAATGGCATATTATTATATTATTATAAAGTGGAAGTTGGGAGAGTTATATTTGAGTGTTTCAGTGAAAGCTAAGTGAGGGAGGCCCCACTCTCTCGCTTCCCCAGATGTTTAGTTAATTTTATTCCGATCTCTTTTTTGCATTATTGTAGCCTTTTCTGTAGCCTGTCAACTACAGTGAGGGGAAAAAAAGTATTTGATCCCCTGCTGATTTTGTATGTTTGCCCACTGACAGACATGATCAGTCTATAATTTTAATGGTAGGTTTATTTGAACAGTGAGAGACAGAATAACAAAGAAATCCAGAAAAACGCATGTCAAAAATGTTATGA